TTTTTGCTGCAGCTCAAGGACCCCAGTTTAGGGTTCAGTTCCTTTCATTACAATGGAAAAGACAATACCTGTGTCATAGGTGTGTTGTGGCCATGGAAGAGAATACCAACTGTGGAGGGGCTCGGCACAGACCAGGCATAAAGGGAGAGATTCCCTCCTGCTTAGAGTTTAAATCTCATTTCATTTAAGAGTGGATTGGAGTGTCCTGAAGCCAGATGCCCCTAGGGACCAAGGATACACAGGTATGGGAGGGGACCCAAGACCCTGAATTGCTGCAGAGTTTCCCTAGGAAAGAGGAGCATGGCAGATAGCCTGGGCCAGGGTATCAAGGCTTCTGCTATTCTCTTGGGACTCATTTTCCTGGTTGGTGTAGGGGACACGGCCATGGAGCTGCACAGCCAGGGGGAAAACTGACTTCCTAGTAGGGAGACACAGGGGCTGGAGAAAAGGACGTTGAGGCTGCCATTGCTCTAGAAAGCTTTGACCATAGCACAGATAGGGTCTCCTGGAAAGGAAAAGTCTGAGTTGGGACTGCCACTGAACAAGGAATGAGAGAAGGCAAGAAGCACCAAAGCAAGAGAGTAAAGAGAGGCAGAGAGGAGAACAGAGCCTAGGCTCCAAAGCTTACTCTGGGCTTATACCTGTGGTTCTACCACCTTATGGCCACTGGAGGCAGCAGAGAGAACAGCACACAGGCCTGAAAACCAAGCCAAAGCTAGAGGCCACAGTGGGGGAGGGGTTCCAAGGCTCATAAAATGGGCACATGGAAAATCCCCATGGCCTGCTAGGACCAGGGACTCTTTGTGACTTTCCCACTGGAAGCTCATACCCATAATACAAGCAGTCTTAACAAGGGGCAATGAAGTCTAGAAGTGACTACTAAAAATTAATAACTCTTGCTTGGTTCATTTTTTAAAATTATCCTCCTCCTCATTATTATTTTAAAGAGGGGATATCTGTGCTTTGAAACACAAATCTACATATCTTTTAACTTTTCGACTTTCTGTAGAGTTTTGCTCTACATGGGGCAGGCACTGTAAGCCCCTGACCAAGAGTGGCTCTTTCCAGATGTCCTGTTGCCCTGCCTGGCTCTGTTCCATACGGGCTCTTACCATCGGCAGCAAGGATAACAATCTCTCTGGGGTGGGTTTCTTCCATGGTCAGTTGTCTGTGTATGTGTGGAGGCCCTGGTTTCAGTGGACAGAGACCGAAGAGAATTGTTGCCATTAGGAAAAAATGTTCTGTGTGAGCTGGGTTGAGTGGGAAGGGGAGCCCAGGAGGACGGGTCACTCCTTCCACTCTGACCTCACTGTGTCTCCTACAGTGTCTGGGGCCTGCTGTTAGCAGGAGTCTAGATAGTTAGCACCTGGGGATGGAAGCCCAAAGAACACAAAAGGGCCTTGATCTGGGGCTACTCAGTGTCCCTGGCTGAGTCAGGGAGGCTGGTGCACTGTAAGTGGATTAGGGAGTCTTGTGGGAGAAGACCTGGAAATGGCTTCCTTCCTGTGGGAGGTATGGTCATCTGAGGGATTTGGTTGCGCAGATAGCAAGGTCACCCAGTCAGAGCCCCCATTGGCTGTCCCCAGATGTCCTTCTGACCTGGTCTTGCCTGGCTTGGTTCCATCCCTGCTCTAGGCTTGCAGTTGTCTTGTTTCTTCGGCTGGTCAAATCTGGCCAAGCCTAGGAGATAGGCTGGGCTGACTCCTTCAAGCAGTGGCACTGCCACCAGTAAAGCCCAGCTGGAGATTAGAGTATTTATGGGACTTCAGCTTCTGGGGGCCTGGAAGTAACACTGGCCAGCAAGTGCAGAAGCCTTGCCTGGGACTCCGATGGGGAGCTCTGAGCAGGGAGGACCCTTCAGAATTGTTGAGGCAGACGACTGAAAAGTCTTTGACCCCTACCATATTGATGAACCATTGGCTGTGCACCTCTATTTTCCACCCCAAGCATTGCCTTGGGTAAAGCAGGTTTTTTTTGCCCAAGGGCAGTGCCCTGAGAGAGACCCATTGGTGAGCCTCTGCCACTGCAGAAAATAGGGAAGGACTGGACTTTCTCTTCCGCTCTGAAATGTGGGGATTCAACTGCTGTGAAGGAACACAGTCTTGGAAGGCTGCATGACAGAGGAGGCATTTTAGTTGAAGTTTGATGAATGTATTAGATTGTGATTTCTGGGGATGGGCAGGAAGTGGGAGGTAGGTGAACAGTACAGTAGAGGCATATTCAGAGGTCAGAAGGGAGGGTTAACTGGACCTGGAGTGACATCAATGGGAAGTCAGTTTGGACAGGCAGACAGGGGAAGGCCTGAGCACCTTGCTGGTAGAAATGCAGTTTTTCTTCCCTAACCCACATGTCAGGTTGAGAAGGAGTTTTCACAGGCAAACCATCTGCTACAGTAGCTGAATCTGGGGCAAACTGTCTACCAGCTGTGTGGATGGGTGGCAAGTGGGAGAGATAGTGGGCCAGGACACCAGACCACATAGGAGGAAGTGAGGGCTCAGTGAGACAGAGGAACAGGGAGGGCAGGGGATGTGATGGAGGGGTGTCTCCATCCTGGGGATCAGATAGATGAGGGTGAGACTCCAGGGGCTTGAGGAAGCCAGGAGGAGAGGGCTGGAGAGGAGAACCCAGGTTGACCCTGTGTATGGAGGCACCAGTATGACCTCTGAGCCCACCAATCTGCAGGCAAAAGAGAGGAGAGGTCTCCTTAGAAAAGAGTTAATGTGGGGCAGGGTGTGGTTGTATATGTCTGTAATCCCAGCTACTCAGAAGGCAGAGATAGGAAGATCTCTATTTGAGGCCAGTCCAGGCAAAAGCGTGGGACCCGATCTGAAGAGCACACTAAAAGCCAAAGGACTACAGGTATAGCCCAAGTGGTAGAGCCCTTGCCTCGCAAGCACGAGGCCCTGAGTTCAAACTCCAGTAAGAAAGGAATCAGAGCTGGAAGTACTTCTGCTTCATAGAGGACCCCATACATGACATTATTGGGTTCCTCCACTTTTTGAAGGCCATTTGCCCATGGAAGCTCCACCCATCTCCTCTCCAGCCTGGCTTATCTCCTTGTTATACCTTCATTATCCTAAGTACTCTACAGATAGGTTGACCTACTTAATACTCATTGCAACCTTAGGTCCATTGTCACCCTCACCTCATAGCTGAGAAAAGCAAACTACAGAGCTGAACTGATCCCAGAGGTCACCCAGAGCATAAATGAACAGTCCCAGAATGCTTTCTAGGGCCCTGGGCCCAGCCCTCCAACAGTTTTCACTTCTGACTCCCATCTCGGTGCCTTCTTTCCTGTCAGCATGGAGTCCTCCCCCAGGAAAGCTCAGAGCTGCTGGCAGCCTTTCCTGGTCATTCCCTCATAAAAGACCTGACTACTCTCTTCTTTGTGGTTGTTGCCTCCCAGCTGCTTTCCTGTTTCCCCTCGGTTCTGTTTTCTCTCCATTGAGCAGGAAGGGACCGTATTACTATGTTGACTCTACTCCTGGATCCCTAAATTCACCTTCCTGAAACCCAAACAGTGGGTTTTAAGACTATCAATCAAAGCTGGAGGGCAGGAATCTTGGGGCTTAGGAGACCAATTAGTTCAACCCCTTTGTTTGGGATGAAAAGTCCCAGACTTGAGATGTAGTATTGTCAACCTAGAGTTGCATAGCAGTTTGGGAGCAAAGCTAAGAAAAGAACCCGGTTCTCTTGAATCCAGATTGAGAGAAACTATTGAAAGGGTTTTGGTTTTTTTTCAGTGTTTTAAACGAATGAATTTTCAGTAAGGAGTTTTGGACTAAGTCACATTATAGCCATTCATTTGTGGGCCTAACTTTAAAACATGGTTATACTAAAACAGCATTAATACAACACCTCCCTTTCGTGTTGATACCATGGTTGAACTCATTTTACAGAACAGGAGACTGAGGCACTGAGAGGATAAAGAGCTTGACCCAGCTTATTCTGGTGCCAAGAAGCAGAGCCACGATGCAGACTCAGCCAGTCACCACTGTCAATAGAGCCTCACCTCCGAGCCACCCAGCCCCTGAGTGATTTTGGAAATACAGTCACAAAAGTTATTGCTTGAGAAAAAGTACAGTGTGATTTTGTAATGATCAAATGCTTAGCAAATAAATGGACATTTAGGTACCAAATGACAGTGATGACCTCCCAAGGTGGGATTATGGGTGAGGGCTTATTTTCTTCTTTGTGTTTTCCTGCATTATAATGAGAATTGTAGTGTTTGTGTTGTTTTGTTTTGTTACTGAGACAAGGTCTTGCAATGTGGCCCAAGCTAGTCTCTAGCTCTCAATCCTCCTGCCTCAGCCTCCCCAGTGCTGGAATTACAGGCGTGAACTACCATGCCCAGCAAGAAAAAGTATTATTTCTATTACTAGATAACTTTATGAGAAGTCTGCTCATGGCATTGAAATGGGTGAAGTGGTGCACAAAACTACAGTGTTCCTTTTATCTATTGGGGCTATGTGGCTGAGTATCAGAAAATAGGAGGTGTCTAAGCAGAAGTGGTTGTGGTTCAAACAAAACACAGAACAGGAGCATCAGGAAGGTGATCAGGAACTCTCCCCCAGGTAGCAGAGGACTCCTGCCCTTTTGTAGATGCTAGACCAGGCCTCCTTCCTGTGTGTTGGAGCTTCAGGTCACACTGGTGCTTAAGAAGGAATGCCCAGTCTGTCTGGGGCTTGGTGACTATAGTTTAGAGCCCTGAGGACAGAAGTGGAGGGAATGAATTGGAGGCAGATCCCAGTCAGAAGCCCACCTCTGGCCCATCTGCAATGGAGAAGACACCCAGCCAAGAAGAGTTCTGTTGTGTTGGGGACTGTAAAGGAGCTGGATATGGGCAGGAAGCAGGTTCCTTTGGGGCTAGGGTAAGGGAGAACGTAACTGCCATCTCAGTGTTTACCAGCTCTGACCACTTCACTCTGCTCTGTGACATTCAGGTTTTGTCCTGTGGAGTACACAAAGTAATGTAATTTTTCTTTTTTCTCTTTGACCAGAGACCACCTGGGAACGCCCCAGCTCTTCTCCTGGGATTTCAGCCAGCCCTGGCACTCACAGGAGCTCTCTGCCTCCAGCAGGTACGTCTACTCATTAACTCGGGACACCTGGAAGGGCCACACACCACTTGTTCCTGGCCTGAAACCTGGCTTGAGGTCTGACTGACTGGCCCTGGAGAGGACTCAGGTCGGTAGGCCCCTGAAGCCTGTTGCCTAACAGGTTGGCAATACCCAGCAGTGCTGGCTGCAGCTCTGGTGGTTTTCCACTCTTGCCCACTCGGGTCTCAGGGCAAGATGATAGTTGAGGTCACATATCAGTGCTCTTCTTTGATGTGGGGGCAGAGCTGCTCCATGGGAGCTCTCCTAGACTTCAAAGTGTAGAATTGAACAGAAGTGGAGTTTTTCAGGGCAACTTTCAAACAGAACATTCTGGAAAGGAATTGGGATTCTTTGTGAGGAGCTGAGTTGTCTGTCTGCAGAGGTAATCAAGTGGAGACATTTGAGATAGTCATTCCATAATAGGTAGGAGCTTTGTCTAGAGTATTCTTTGGAGACATGTCATTCTGAGGTCGGTGCTATCCCCTGGCTCTGAGTGTTTCTGGGGTCTGAGACTTCTGGGGCTTTACAAAGGATTGTTTAACATTTGGTGCCCCTGAAGAAGAACCTTATTTTCAACCATTCAGACAGTGAAGACCAGGTGGCCAAACAGAAACTTGTGGAACAGAAAACTATTCATGTAAAACTACTCCCCTGCATGGTCCAGGGTAGATCTGAAGTCTGTGGAGAAGCTGAGGGTCATGCCTTGCAGAGCAGCCAGCTGGGAAGAAAGCAGCACTGTGCCTGCTGTAGCATCAAGGTACTGAGCTCAGACGTGGCTCTAGTGTGTTCCTGACTTCAAAACCTGTGTTCATGTAGCCATAGCAGTGTTTCCCAAAGTTTCCTGGCAGTCCTGCTTCATGCCCCACACAGGTCTGTGTCTGTATCCATGTAAGAATGATGTGCACCCCTGCCTGTGAGACCCACAGCTCACGTCAGCATAGGTCATAGGCCAACACTAAATAAACAGCTTAAACCTCAATGATGGGGTTACAAAACCCTAGCCCTTACCTTCACTGTGTAACATTCATAGAAACACCTTGCAGAACTGGTGTTCTTTATAACAACTGGAAAACATATGTTCTACCATGTTTAATGTATAATGGATGGAAGGGAGGAAGAGAGAACAAGAGGAAGGAAGGAAGGGAGGCAGGGTAGGTGAGTGGATGGATGGATGAATGGATATTTGGGTGCATGGGTGGGTGGGTGAGTGTATGGAAGGGAGGGAGGGAGGATGGATGGATGGATGGATGGATGGATGAATAAGTGGGTGTATGGGTGCATGAATGGATGGGTGAATGAATAGAAGGGAGGCAGGGATGGAGGAAGAATGGATGGAGGGATGGATGGATGGATGGATGGGTGGATGGATGGATGGATTTTAAGAACCGTGGCCTCAGAGCTGTCATGTTTTTTAACCTGAGAAAGGATAAGTTACTTTACTCCGGAGAGAGGGGAGACCAGGCCAGAGCCAAAGAAGGTATGAGGGGGTGTGGTGCCCATGGGCAGTGGACCTTGGAGGATGGACCTTTCTGTAATGGGGATTGGGGCTGAAAAGTGGAAGCAGACTCCTGGGAGAATGAATTCCCAGTGGCAAAAGTTGCTGGGTCTATATTGCTTAGTCTTTTTTCATAGCTTTCCTTATGTTCCTTCTTCTTGTTTTTATCCACTTCTCCTCACTCTGACCTTCTTCTCCTCCTTTCTTCCCAATATCTGTCCCCTCCTTTCACTGTACATCTCCACAGCACTCTCTTTGTATATCTGACTACCCATAAGGCTTAAAGACCATGTGTGGGTGCCTGTGTTTACATGTATTTTTAAAGTTACTAAAGTTACCAGATAGTTTTGGGTTCCTTTTTTTAAAACCTTAAGAACCCCTGAGTTTAGCATTTTACCTTTTTTCTTATATCACCAACTTGAATTATGTTCCTTACAGTTAGTAGTGATCTTTGATTTTACTTCTCCCTCCTGGCAGCCCCAGGGCCCCCTACTCCAGCCTCATTTGTTTGTGGCCGACACTTGGCGAATTAGGAGCCCAGAGGACCAGAGGACAGGGAATGGCAATTACAAATGCTTCTGGGCAAGGTTGTGAGGATTTTGTAGGCCATAACTCTTCCGATCTCCACTGAAAGTTTTCTGAATGTGCCTGGGAGCATTAGAGAAAAATGCAACAAGACAGGGTGTCAGAGGAGAGCTGCTGTGTGGGGAGAAATGGTCGAATGGAAAATTAGTTTTTCTTTCCCAGTAATTGTTATGACATGAGTAGTAATTAGCCAGCAGCTGATGGACCAGAACTGAAGTGAGAACAAGGGACTGGATTAGGGCAGCATGTCCCCATGTTAGATGTCCTGGCTGCTCTTAGGCTGTCGGACTGTGAACCTGGGAGACCTGGGGGCAGAAGACAAGGAGCAGCCTGGTGAGTGTGTGTTTTGAGGTCCTGGGAAGGGAGTAAGGAGGGGTCAGAAAGGCAACCTCTGCCCTCAAGGAGCTGGGGAATAACCTTGGATTACAGGGACCCAGTGTCATCCAAGATTACATTACCTGCTCAGGTAAATCATGCACGTTTCATTTTCATCACTAGAACAAACTGTGGCTCAGTTTTTTGCATTGACTTTGATTTTAGGTTTAGGGTAATGTCAATTTTGTATATACCTTGGGAAACCTGCCACAATTTTCCGTGCTCTGAGGACAGTTTGTGCCTGGGTGTTTCTTTCTCGAGAGTTTGAACAAATTTGCCCATAAAACCACCTGGGCTCAGTGCCTTTGGTGGGGAGGTAATTTTTCAAAGATTTTTGCTCTTTGTGGGCATTTCTAGTGTTCTTTGAAACCATTTTGATAATTTGAATGTTTTGGGAGGTTTGGTTTTTGTTAGCATAGAATATGTTCTTGCATTTTAAAAAAAACCTGTATTTGTGCTTATATGTTCTTTCTGATTCTTAATCTGAGCATTTGTGGTCACTCTCAAATTAAGCTGGTTCATTTCCTTTTTCTATTGTTGTGATTCCTGCCCCTGCCTACCCACCCCCCCCACACACGCAGAATGTCATCTTGCTCTTAACTCATTCGTTACTATTACTCCTAACTCATTAATTTCTGTATTTCTCTTGATAGTCCTTTCTTCTGTTTTCCTTTAGTTTATTTCATAAGTCTTTAAACTTTTTTCTAAAATGTGAAGTTGAATGTTTATTCATTTATTTTTTTTCCCTTTGGGTTTGGTAATGGAATAATTACGGCTGTTTCTTCCAAGTATATAATTCAGACTTTATCCCATTTGTTTTCATATGTTCCTTCTTATTATTTTCCAAATACTGTATAATTATAGTCTTTAATTCTCTTGTGACCTGACATTATTTAAGAGGACATTTTCTTTAGTTTCCAAGTATTTGGGAGTTGGGATATTAGAAACCTTGTATATTTGTTTATTCACCCATTATTAGTATCTACTTTTATTGCTTTCTGGTCAAAGCATATATCTTATTTTATTTATATCTTCTACCATTTACCAACAGTTTATTCATGGGTTAAATATGGCTATCTTTTAATGTTGCATGACTTTTTGGCAAAAGATGTCATCTTTGTAGAGTAGGATGTTTTATATATGCAACTTCAATCAGCCTTTTAAGTTGAATTATTCAGATCTTATTTGCCTTCATGATATAATCAGTCATGGACTAAAAGCAGTGTACTGAGGTATTGCACTGTCGTCCTCAAACTTTCCAGCTTTTGTACTTCATCCATTTCAGGACTGTGCTATTCCATAGGTAAAACTTCTTTAGTGTCATACCTTCATTGTGGGATGTGTGTACCACCAATCTGTCTGATGCCTTCCTGGCAGACTCTATGCCAGCCTAAGTAGGTTTCCCTTAGCCCCCTGATATTATTGGAGTTCTGACCTCCCCTCTTAAGCTGGCTTTTTCATTGAGTTGATATGACAGGAATTTGGCCAGCTGCCTGCAGGGCCTTGGGCATGGATCAGGCCTGTGGCATACAGGAGGGTTAATTTGTTGTTTCTTGCTGCTTCCATAAACACTGCACTAGGAGTCCACTCTGTACCAGTTTTCTCTTTTCTTATCATGTGTGTGCCCTCCATTCTGGAACGTGGAGCAGGCCGTGTCACTCAGGATGAAGCCCAGCTGCCCATAGGCACTGTTGAATGTGGCCTGCATGCAGAAGGCTGTGGATTTTTGCTGCACGCACAAGAGGATGGAGTGCATCCCCAGCATGAAAAGAATTCTACCTGGAATGTTTTTCACCACCCCTGTGGTCCACTGCTTACTTCCAGCCCTTGTCACTCTAGATTACAGGTTGGGTAATCTAGAATGCTCCAGACTGGAAGTGTTTCAGATTTTGGATATTTTTCATATTTTGGGCTCTTGGCATAGACATAATAAGACATAGCAGGACATCTTGGGCCTGGGGCCCAAGTCTAAACAAAACATGCATTTGTTTCATAAATAAATACAGCCTAAAGGTAATTCTGTGCAATACTTTAAATAATTTTGTGCATGAAACAAAGATTCATGGTGTGGAATCTTCCACTCATGATGTCATGGTGCCACCCCAAAATTTCAGATTTTGGAACATCTTGAGTTTCAGATTTTTGGATTAAGGATGGTCAACCTATAGTAGGTTTTGGTGACTTTTAGATAGTCTCTCATTTGCTTCCTGCCACTCAGAATTTTTTCAAGAATTGCAAGCTGGACACCATTCAGTCTGTATGACCCTCCAGTCCAGCCTGCACTGTGTGTATGCTGCAGCAGTTCCTCTAAGCCTGGAACACGAGGTTGGCTTTCTAGCCTTGTCTCCAGAAACTGTACAAGTTTGAGGCACAGAGGGACAGAATTTCAGGAACAAAAGCAGCAGCCACCCCCTCCCACCCTTCCCTTTTTAATGAAGTACTTGAAAATGCACAGATCCCTTTCACAGTTATTAGCCTCATTGGATTGTCATACCAAGAAAGCAAGTTGGAGACTAGGAAGAATTACCCCTACTTTACAGACACAGAAGCAGAGGGGAAAGGGCTCCCCTAAGCTTGGGTATTCGTGTTCCAGGTGAGAGCCACTGCGCCTCTGGGAACCGAGACTGCACAGATCGCAGGAGTGTGAAGCAGGGGGAGGCTTGAAGCCGGCCATGGTGGGAGTGCTTATGCAACACAGATTGACAGACACTAAAATCAGGGTGCCCCTGCCAGTCAGAGAGCACACTTATCCACACACACTGGGGATATGAGCAAGAGTCCCCCAAAAGAAACATGTTCGCTAGAAGTAGAATTTTAGAACCTCTGATTATTACTATTATAATTATAATTGTGATAATTATTATTATTATTATTGTGTACTGGGGCTTGAACTCAGGGCCTTGTGCTTGCTAGGCAAATGCTTTACCACTGAGCCACACCTAGCCCTATTGCCTTAGTTATTTTTTAAATAGGGTTTGACATTTTTGCCCAGGGCAGCCTCAACCTCAAACTTCTCTTTATACTTTCTGATCCTCATATTTACACTTTTTGTGTAGCTGGGATAACAGGCACATGCTACCACACTCAACTTTTTTTTTTTTTCCAGTACTGGGGTTTGAACTCAGGGCGTACACCTTGAGCCACTCCAGCATCCCTTTTTGGTGATGGGTTTTTTCAAGATAGGGTCTTGTGAACTGTTTGCCCAGGCTGGCTTTGAACTGCAATCCTGCTGATCTCTGCCTACTGAGTTGTTAGGATTACAGGCATGAGCCACTGGCACCTGGCTATAATCACCTTTTTGTTGGTTGAAATGGAGCTTGTGAACTTTTTACTGGGACTGGTTGCAAACCACCATCCTCCCTGTTTTCCATCCATCTCCTGAGTAGCTAAGATTACAGGTATGAGACACCACTGTTACTATTTTCAATTTCAGAAAAACTGAGGCTCAAGACTCTGGCTTTCCATTACACATTGAATATCTCTAGCTCCCAAGCCCTAAATCCAAATTTGTTTGAGCATCCGACATGGCATTCAAAAAACTTTGGATTTTGGAGTATTTCAGATTTTAGATTTTTGAATTAGAGATACACAAGCTGTATCAAGACTGGATAAATATTCTAAAATCCTAAAAAATTCAAAATCCAGAAAACACTTTTGATCATAAGCATTTTGGAAAATGGATGCTCAACCTGTGCCTACATCATAGTGCTCTGAGGCTGAAGGTAGAGAAGCTCTTTAGAGAGAGAGTAAGGGGATTGTAGGGCAGTAGGAGAGGAGCCACTGACTCAGTAGAGAGAGACAGGACCCTTGACTGGTACCCATGAGCACCACTGACTTATGGCAATCGATAGCTAGACTCCAATGACCTCGGCTTCCATGAAGCACGTTCCTGAGAAGAAACTCAGTCCCCTGAGAGTTCAGTATGTCAGTGCTGGAGATTTCTAGCTCTGCAGCTACTGACAGATGGTCATAGCCATCCAAGACCTCCCGGCATCCAGGGAGGAGGTGGGAAAAGGGACTGCCGTGGCCAAGAGTCCAGTGGGACATTCTGTGGTCCACGCAGCATCTGAGCCATGTCTCTGTCCCCGCAGTGAATGGATACCACGCGTCAGGGACCCCAGCGCACCCTCCAGAGACTGCCCACATGAGTCTCCGAAAATCCACCGGTGATTCCCAGGTAAGGGGTTCCATTAAGGGAGGTAGGGTAGCTGAGTATGAAGGTCCAGGAAGGGTTCATGAAGGATTGGTACATCAAGGGAGTCCAGAAGTCCAGGGCTGCCCCCAGTAGAAAGCGGTAGGTATATGTGGGTTGTTATAATAGTTCTTGATGGGGAGAGGGTTGGAGGATTGTAGTTTATTGGTTTTCTAGAAATTGAGAATGACTTGGAGGAGGGGCTGAGGGACTTGTAACTGTCAGGATCGAGGAGTCCATCCTGCTGCCTGTGTTCTGAATGCACAGACCTCAGGTTTCCTATCACTCTGAAGAATAGGTAAACCCAGACTTTGTCCTTTTCTACTCCCTGTCCTCCCATCCCCAGACTTTACCCAGAGTGGAATTTAGTAAAATTTGATTGTCTCATTTGCTAAGCTGGCATGGAGGTAGTTGTAGGATGGGAAGTACTGGGAGTATGTTTTCAGACTCCCAAAGTGCTGTCTCTTTGGCCATCTCATTTGACATTTGTGTCAGGGCACGAGATGGGTGTTGGTACCATTGCTGGGTTGTGCATGAACCCACAGGAGTATAGACAAGCTAAGTGACTTGTGCAAGTTCACGTGATGACTCGGGTCAGACTGGGCCCTGTGCCATGTCCCATGGTTTCCTCAGTTACATCATAAATGATTAAGAAGAGGTTCTTTTTTTGGCAGAACTAGGATTTGAACTCAGGGTCTTGTGTCTGTGACTTGAGTCATGCCCCCAACCCTTTTTGTTTTAGTTATTTTTTCAGATAAGGTCTTTTGCTTTTTTGCCTGATCTGATCTATACTGTGATCCATCTACCTATGCTTTCCAGGTAGCTGGGATTACATTCGTGTACCAGCATGCTTGGCCCAAGGAGAGGTTCTTAATGAAGAACCTCTAAATCCCACTAGACTTTTTCTGGAATTAAAATGCCAGAGTCCAGGAGTGATGATCTCTATTACCACAATATCATTATCATGATGATACCATCACGATGAGGATCAGGATAATATTGCTGATGTTAATGAGACCAATAATTGTTTATGCATAGCTTTTGTGTCCTAGTCACCTAAGGAAAGACTCTGTACTCTGTTAGTATCATCAGCTAAAATGTGGCACTTGGCTTCAATATAGACAGAAGTGTTGATTTTTCAAATTTTATAGTTATCTTCTTATGAGGCTAAGCATTGATTGGGCTCAGGCTCAGTTAACTCTGATAGAGAATTTGGATATCAGTCTAGGCCAGGACTTCTTTAATTCTGATGGACTCAGAGTCTCCTGGACCTCTTGTTAAAATGCAGATTTCTGATTGAGAAGGCTTGGGTGGGGTGGATATTTCCAATCAGCTCCCAGGTGATGCTGATGCTGCTAGGGACTAAGCCTGAGTAGTGGGGATCCAGGCTCAGTCAATAGGACTCTTACGCCCCTGCTCACATCACCCATTGTGAGTCAACCCTGTCTTTTTGCATTTGCTGCTGAACTTCTATCAGTCTGGGGAAGGGAAGCTTGCTTGCCATCTGATTTGGAAGTGTTTCTGAAGACATGAGCCTCTTCTGTTGTGGTTTAACCACCACAAAAAAAAGCTGCAGCACTGGGCTGAGCATCATGAGGAAGAATGTTGGAAACAGCTCCCTATTCTTCCTCCCCTACCAAAGCATGACTGCTTCCAGAAGTACGATGAAGTTGTTACTCAACCGAATGAAAAATGTAGACTGGTCTAACTAACTTATACCCCAAGCTGATGGAATAGCGCACAGCATAAGCCTCTGACGTAGGAATGCCTCTTCAGCACCTGTGCCTGGGGTAGACTCAGGGCTTCTGACTTATTCATAGCTCTGTACTCTTGCTCTCAAACTAATTATCCAGCAACAGGGGATGGGGAAAATGGACTGTGGAACTGGACATCCAGCCAATCGATGACATTATGCAGCCATTGAAGAGTATTCTTCTGAAGAAAATTTAATAATTTGGGAAAATGTGCACAGCTTAATATTGAGTAGGAAAAACAGGACTTAGACTATATAGACAATCTTATTTGGGAGACAGAAAACTATGCTTATGTGAACGAAAAAAGACAGGAAGAAAAATAAGCCAGGGCATTTATGTGATTTTAACTGTATCTGAGACCACAGTTCTCCATCGGAGGACATTTGGTGATGTCTGGAAACATTTTTATTGTTACAACAAGGGACAGGGGAAAGTGAGATCTATACACCAGGGATATTGCTAAATATCCTACAGTACACAAGGCAGCTTCCCACAGCAAAGATTTACCCACTTCGAAAATCTGAATCACACTGAGGTTGCAAAACCTTGGTTAAAGACCATGGGAAATTTTTATTTCCTTTACACTTTTCACTATTTTTCAAATTCCTTTAAATGAACACATTTGACTTTTACAGAAAACAGACACAATTTTTATTTTCAAAAATAAGAGCTGGTACTGGGGACTTAGGGAAGGCCAGCTCTGAAAACCTAAGTAGACAGTGTTTACTTACAGATGCACATTTGTAATATGCTTTTTGGATGGTAACCTTGAGAGTTGAGGTCTCACCAAGTAACAAGTATAAATGATGTAGTACCTGGAGAGGGTGAGTCTGCATTTGTTTCCAGAGCTATAAGGCAGTGATTCTTTTAGAGTTACATTTGGATACTAAAGCTGCTACTTTTTAACCCTAATTTGTGAAACTACATAAATAGGTTAAGAAGGTTTGCTGTTTACAAACAGCACTACCAACAAAGTATCCCTAAGGATACACTTCTCTTCAGCATGCAGGAAAGTTTATTTGCCACCCAAACAGTCATAACTCATACTGACTACTCTCACTAATAATTGAAACACAAGTGAATGGAGAGACAGGGTGTGCAGTGGAAAAGATGGTTTGCTCAAGGTTGCAGTGACAGAGCCCAGACTGATCAACCCCACATTTGAAAAGTCTACCTGCTAGTAGCCCTCCCTTGAGCAGGCTAATCAGGAAGATTCAATGTGGGGGGAGGGGAAGGGCACACCTAAAGATACCAGAATGCCCCCACCATGCTGGGTAGAACCCATGGTTGGGCCACCTCCTTCTCCCATTCCTGGGAGACAGGTGGTGGTGATCTGGTGCCACCCAGTGGAGGTTTTAGCGGTGCAGCCTTAGGTTGAGCTGCTGGCTGGGTACTATATAAATGGGACTCTCCTGCTTGGTGGAGGGGCGAGTGCTCAAGGGATAATAGTCTTGCCAGTTTTTGCAGAGGCAAGTCCTAGCTAGTTCACTCCCTACCTGCCCACCAGCCTTCAGGCCCTTTTGTAATCCATCTTTCAATTGTTCTGCCTTCTCATAAACTTCCCCAGGAAGACACTGGAGGGGAAAAAAAAGAGAGAGAGAGAGAGAATAGGACTCAGGGCTTGGAGTCTTAGGAATCCATTGAAGAATGGAGTTTAAGGTGGAGAAAGAACTGAGACACTGAGTCTTTATCATCTAATCCCCCTGAATTCAATAAGACCTAGTCCATTGAGCATTTGCGTCTTTGCCAGGCATAGAAGGACAAAGCCCTTACCTCAGTGGCAGTTTATAGCTGGTGTGGGAGAAAGACATTTTATAAATGATGCACAATGCTGGCAGTGATAAGGGCTGGAGGAAGTGTGTGCTGTAAGAACCCAGCCTAGTGGTGGTGGAAATAACAGGAATGGCTTTGTAAGATGCTTAGTTGAAGACTGAAATTTGAAGGACTATTATATCAAACTACCTTAAACCTATCACTTACCTGCAACAATCCCTAGCATTAAAGCAATTTTGTTTAACTTTTGCTCCCATCCCTGCTCCTTAATACCACCCCCCATTACTGCCACCCCAATTTTTTTCAGTTCTGGGGTTCAACTCAGGACTTCATGCTTGCTAGGCAGGCACTCTACCACTTGAGCCAGGCTGCCAGCCCTGCCCCCGCCGACCCCCACCCATAACTTAAAGCAAATTCCTGGCATGTTGCTTTAAGTATAAATATTTCAGTGTGTGTGTGTGTGTGTGTGTGTTTCTCATAACTGTGACAAATACCTGAGAGAAAACAGCTTAAAAAGAAGAAATGTGTATTCTGGCTCACAGTTTCAGACCATGATCAGCTGCCTTGGATAAAAAGTGAGCAGAACATCACAGTGGAGAGGGCAGGGTAGAGCAGAGCCACTCATTTCATGGCAGCCATGAAGAGAAGGAGCGGGAGAGGAGAGGGAAGGAAAGGAGTCTGGGATGAGATATAGTCCTCAAGAACACGCCCCAGTGACCTACTTCCTCCAATCAGGACCCACCTTCCACTGTTCCACCACCTCCCAGTAGTCTTCAGAGTTTGAATTCATCAATGGATTAAACCATTGATTAGTGAAATGCCCTCTCAGACACCCCCAGTTATGTTTCACTAATCTCCCAGGTGTCAGCCCAATCGAGTTGACACTCAAGGTTAACCATCACAGTGTGTCCAAGGGGAAAGATATCACAGTGCCATCATCACACTTATGGAAACATAAATTCAACAATATCACCTGGTACATAATCCATATTCAAATATTTCAGTTGTTCCCAGAATGCCTTTTGTATCTGTTCCTCTCCCTCTCAAAAACATCTTTGTTGAAAAGTAATTTACATATTATTCAATTTACCCATTTAAAAATATATTATTTGGAGGGGTTTTATAAAGTGTATTCATGAGTTATGTAGCCGTCATCACAATATTTAACATTTTCATCACTCCAAAAAGAATCCCACTATTCTACTTTCTGTCTTTGTGAATTTTTTTATTCTGGACATGTCATATAAATGAAATCATGCTATCCGTGGTCCTTTCGCCTGGCTGCTTTCACTTATAATGTTTTTTTATTTGCTTGTTGTAGCATAGGTCAGTCAGTCATTTCTCTGGCTTGAATTGTACAATTGTACAATTGTACAATTGTCTATTGTACAAATAGACAATTCTTTATCTACCTTACCACTTCAATCCCTCTTCATTGAGGTTAATCTCTCACATTTTTTTACTTTTGTCTTTTAGTTTATTTTTTGAGGAGTCCAGGTCAGTTGTCTTGTAGAATGACCTACATTCTTGATTTAATTGTTCTCTTATGCTTAGATTGAGATTGAGTGGCTTGGTAAGAACTCTGAATAGGACACACCAAGTCGTTCTTATGGCATCCGTGGAGAGGCACACACACACTCCCAGGTTGCATCCTACTGATGAGGCTCAGTATGAGCTCTTGCTTAGTGTGGTGACTGCTAGCTTTCTCCTTTGCAGGGGTTCATTTTCTCTTTCTGATTTATCAGTAATCTGCAGGATGTCAGTGTGACACTGTGTCTCTATCCTGTTCCCTGACAATCTTTTCACTCAGTGTTTTGAACGTCTGTGATCATTGTGGCCTGAATCCCTTTTGACATTAGGGTTTCCAAATAGCAACTTTCTAATTTTTATTGGTATTCTTCTGAGATGAAATGTTCCTTCCCCCCACTTTGGAGTTAATAAATTGTGATCTTTATTCACTTTTATACTTAGATTGTCCCAAATGTAGCCTGAGAAAGTCTCTGTATGCTGGCTCCTATGTCCTTTTGTTATATCTTCATTGTTCTTTGAGTATTTTCTTACCTCTTGGCAAAATAAGATGTTCCAGGTCTACTTTGTATTTGGAATTAGCCATTTTCCCAAGAAGCCTTGTTCCTATTATTGGCAAAATAGCATTTAGCAACTAATTTGCAGCTAGTAAGTTGTGGTCACTGAGATAAGATGTCATTCCTCCTGGGCCCTTTAAGAGAAGTCCTATGAGGTAGTGTGTGTGTGTGTGTGTGTGTGTGTGTGTGTGTGTGTATGATGCATGTACATGTATATGAATTTGAATAATAGGCCCAGGTCAGCAGCAGCAAATGCAGAGCCTGAGATTACCTGGGATGCCTGCCCCCACCACCCCCATCATCACTGGTTAAAGTGATATACCACTCTAGTAGCCTTGTGACCCTGTACCATTTAGCTTCTTCAAGCTTCAGTTTTAATGGTCTGCAAAACAGATAGGATGCCACAAAACTTGCTGGGGTTATAAGGATTGAAGGAGATTAAGTATGACAAGTGCCAAGCCTGGTGCCTCAGTAACAAACAAGCCCTCAGTGGATGGTGGCTCTCACAGTGCTTCCTCCCTCTTAGTTTTCCTCCTCGTCCTTTGAATCCCAGCGACATCCGTATGTAGACTCAAAGACCACAGCCAAATGCTAGAGCACTTTTGTGCCACACACACACACACACACACACACACACACACACACACACACCGTGAGTGCAGTGGGCATATAGTGGCAATGTGATGTTTTTCCATGAGAGAAAGACTACAAACTACAGAATCCACACCATACCCAACCCATCCCCCTTCCTGGCATGTATGAGCTTGGCCAGTATCTCTACACTAAAGAACCACGGAGGGACTTCTATCCCTGCCTCTTCTCTGTGGCAACTGACTCCTGGGGCTCCAGCCATGCAAGCTCAGTCCGCTTTCTTCCCTGGGCAGTTTTGGCCAAATGTTTTGGAAGAGAACTGTAGCTTGGGAAAGTACAGCATGGGCCATTAAGGATGTGTTGACTCCTTAAAAACATCTATGGAAGTTGTAGTTGGCCACAAGCTTGATGTTTCCCCAGGGTCTGTTGGAGCAGCCAGCAGATTTGCTGTAAGTAGAGGCACCTCGATAAAATGATAGAAAGCTGATTAGATCACTGTGTCTCTGAATAAGATCTCCAGATTCTGCATGAGAGGAGCTCTGAGCCCTGCCTGGGCCTTGCAGGAGCAGCAGCTCTGAGGCTCCAAAAATTCAGATTCCTTGGCCAGGGTCTCAAAACTAGCAATCAATTTCTTGTCTGTGAAATGGATGGTCCTTTTTACTAAGCACTCTAAGGACATCCGTTTCTGTGAGGTGACTTTATTTACCAGTCAAAGGAGGACGGAAAGACAATAAAGAATGAGAACACACACAGGGGCTCAGTAAAGCTGAGCCTGATTCACTGATGGGTTCCTGGGGCAGAGACTGCTCCCACCTTCAGGTGCTCATCATGCCAGGTGGTCCAGGGCTGCACTGGCCTGAGGGTGGGTGAGGGTCTGCTGGTTAATTTGAGGCTCATTGGTGAAGCCCCTTCATGCTTTTTTCTGGCCTTTTAATAAAGTAACAACCACTTACTTATACTCTACAAGGATGCAGTGGAAACAGTGTTGAGCCCAAGATACCACATAGGATGGCCCCCACAGTGTGTGCTTCCCTCAGATCATTGTGTGGCTCAGGACAGCAGACACCTCAGGGGCTGCCCAGGATATCTGCTGTTGAATCCTGAATGTAATTGTTAGTAGAACAATGAAGACCCAAGACTGAACAATCTCTTTAGTGTCATAGGCTCTTACGACATTTGCGGCATGTTTAGCTGGCAACCTTTGATTTGTTTTTCCACCAGCACAATCCTAGGACTTTGGCAAGGACCTGTGGGCTCAGCAGTACTTGGGACTCTGGTTCTCTTGCTGACAACAGGAAAGACATAAAAAGGCAAGCCAAAGGCTTGTGCTCACCTTGGCTGAGAAATCCCTCCCCACCTCCTAGAATTGACTGAGCGGTGTATGTTATATGTATTTGGAGCTTGATATTTTGGACTCAAGGGTTTCAGAATAAGATGTCATGTGCTGAATCCTCAGTGCCAAGAGGTGGTGGCCTGCCATTGGCCTTAACTCCCTAGTCCCCTGTGGATTCTGCTACTCAGGCAGGTTGCCGCACAGAACCTGTTACCAGCAGAGGGCAGTGGAGGGGTTAACTCCCCAAATCACAGACAGAGAAAAGGAGGGGAGAGCTGGTTTGGAGCAATTCTGTCAGAGCCTATGCACAAACCTTTCTTCACTTTGCCTGAAGCCTGAGAGCTGGACACGGGAGCAGCGTGGGCTCAGGGATGCTCCTGCCTGTCCTGGCACAGACTATGGTGACTTAGGAGTTAATGGCAGGCTGAGCTCCCGAACTTCTCCAGTGCAGGGCTTTTAACCAATCCCTCCACCCTCAGGGAACCTGAATGGGGAAAAAGTGTCCAATATGGAGAACAGCTTTGATGATGTTTTTTACCTCTCTCCCCAGAACCTGGGCTCCTCATCACCAAGCAAAAAGCAGAGCAAGGAAAACACCATGACAGTAAGTGGCTCCCGTGGGGTGCTCCCAGGTTGGGTGGCAAGCTGGGGCATTTGACCCCAGCTGGACTGTTGCCACGGCAACGTGGACTGCCAAGCAGAAGTGATGCCCAGCCTGGAAACTGGGAAGTTCCAAAGCTTGGATTTGGCTAAGTTCCCCAGCCCCCCTCTCCATTCTCTGTCAATTTCACATTTCACTTTCTCTCCCCTGGTGAACAGAACAAGTGGAAAGAGGGTGGTTGGAATAATGCAGGAGCCATTTTTGTGGGGCGGGCAGGGGAAGGTACGTGTGCGGGAGTAGGTTGAAGGGGGTGGACTGTGCTGTGCACAAGTGATGTGACATGTAAATTATAGCCACAGCAGGGTTGCTTTTGTGCAGGGAAACTTCTGGAAGATGTCAAAGTTAAAAGCAAGAGACAGTGCCCTAAGAATAGAATTCCTGGGAGTTCCCAGTGAGAAGCAGGAAGCTACTGCCTAGAGTGGCCACTCCATCTCCCAGAGCTCTTCCAAAAGTCTGCCAAGTGCCCATGTGGAGGCTGAGTAGCAGCTCCACCCCCTCTCAGTTGGGAAACTGGACGTCAGTCTCCCATCCCAGTGTGGGGGAAGAGCTGTCCAGCTGCTGAAACAGCCAAAATTGCACACTTGAGAAGTGGGGGCTCTAGTTTTACTATTTTGGTACAAGTACAGGAGAGTTGGGAACCAGTTGTTGCTGTCATGGATTCTATGTCCCACCATTCTGAGCCATTTTGGCCACCTCCATGGAGATGAAACCAGCAGTAGTGCATTTCCCTGGCTTATCCAGGCTGGCAGTCCTGCTTTGTGGGAAAAAGAGAGCAAGACAAATAATAACAACTGCTGGCACTGTCGTGTGCATTTGTTACAATGTGAGCAGAGTTCCAAGTGGCTCATTTTTCCCACTGTGTGAAGTGTGGGAGAATGATTGTATACCTGGACTGTGAAGCCAGAGTATTTCTGTATCACTTGCAAGCTGTGCAACAGCTGGGGCAAGTTTCTTGACTTCTTCCTGTCTGTGTTTATAAAACAGACATGGAGCTTCTGTGACATGGGGATACGTGTAAAGCACTTAGAGGATAGCATGTAGTTAGTGCTCAATACACACTGTTTACAGGTGAGGAAACTGAGGCCCAGAGTGGTACCTCACCCAAGGTCACCCAGCCAGGAAGCGTCAGGATTCAAAACCTAATCTCTTGCCCACTGACAGTGCCCTTCTAGAGCTGACTTGGGCCCCTTAGGTCATCAGCCCTTCTTGACCTCCCTGTGCATCCTGACAGCTAGCAGAGTGGCTCAGCCTTCTGGGAGCAAGGGGCACCAGTAACCTTCCCGTTACTAGAGGAACTGATGCAGCTGGAGCAGGTGTGGGCCAGGTGCAGACTTCTGGAGGGCGTAGTCCCTATTTCCACATGTCACCATGTGCCCCAGAATGCCAGGGTGAAGCAGGAGCATCCCAAAGTCTCCTGAAATAGGTGGAAAAGAGAAGAGAAGACAGAGAGACATGTATTAGCAATGCAAAAGACAGACAACCAGACAAATGAAGAGTGAAAAGCAGTGTTATCCTGACCAGACTTTGCAAGCCTTTGCCTGCAGTCCTGACACCTGGGCCATAGGATAGGCCTCCTGCTGAGCCCTATCTTTCAGTGTCAGTAGGCTGAATGTGGCCCTGGGTTTCCCTTCAGGTGACATACATTGCCCCTGTCTTGGTGCCTTCCCTGTTCCTTTCTCTGACTAGTGCCATGCTTCCCATGAAATGGTCTGCAACCTGAGGTCAGCACTGGAAGCCTCCAAATTACTTGTTTAAAGGGCAAGTTCCTAGGCCAGGGGTGGTGTTTCATGCCTGTAATCCCAGCTACACAGGAGGTAGAGATAGGATTGTATTTCAAGGCAATGGTGCAAGACCCTGTCTGAAAAATAACTAATGCAAAAGAGCTGGGGGCATGGCTGCTGAGCAAGCACAAGGCCCTGAGTTCAAACCCCAGTACAGCCAACAAAATAAAACTAAATGCAGATTCCTGGAAGGTACCTACAGTTGGTCTCTCTAGAACCAGAATAGAGAAATCTGAATCTTCACTAATACTTGCAGAGGTTTTAAATAAACCTTGGAGAGTGTTGCCTTATAGCTGGGGAAACTGAGAAAAGGAGTTACTGACCACAGATCACAGAGCAAGTGAGGAGCAGAGTCCAGGACTTGAACCCTGTCTTTCAGCCACCAGCCCAGAACCCTTCCCAGTCCATCACCTGACCAGTGTGGCCCCACATGTGTCCAGGCTGAAGACTTCTATGTTTCCCCTCCATTCAGACCCTTCTCCTCATGCCTAGCCCCTCACTCAGTGTTTAGATCCTTTAGCTCTCAGGGCTTCTCCAGAGGGAAGGGACAGCCTGTTCCCAGGAGGCTGGGACACAATCTTCCCTCTCCCTGGCATATAGGGATGAGGTGAGCAACTTTCCACACTGTCTGATGCAGGATGTGTGTCTACCGTGAGGAGCAAGGATGGAGCTCTATTCTGAGCTCGGTGGCCTGGAGCAGGTTTGGAATGGCAGACACATGGGTGTCCTGGGCACAGTGCAAAGCTGGCAGCCTCACCTGGCTCTCAGCCCCAGTTGTCAACAGTGCTGGGCTGGCAGGTGGAACAGGGTGTTTGATTGGGAGTGACAGTGCTAATAGCTGCTTACAGCCCTCAGTATAAGCATCAGGATGCAGAGGATTCCAGAAAAGATGATAGCTAAGACATCTGGCCACACTCTCTCCTGGAAGGAGGAAGCTGGAGACCCCTGTGATCCTCAGCCATGGCACCCTGGATGGGGGTTAGGAGTAGAAAAGAGCCCTTGGGGTACTGTCTTCTCTCCTCACCCTGGCTCTTACCCTCTCCCCACCCTCCTCAGTCTGGAGGAAGAGCCTGGAGTCCTGGGTTGTCAAACCATGTTCCCACAGCATTTGCAAATAAGCTACTCAGACAAGCCACCAAGAAGGCTGCAGCTGTGACTACCAGGACAGCTCTGGACTGGGCCAGGATGGGAGTGGGGCACCCCATCCTCGCACATCAGCCTTTCAGTGGGCATTGCCCTGTGTTCAGCAGCCCCGACACCATGGCCTTAGGCTGCTTCTGGAGGCAGCCTGTGTGGTTTTGGCTGCCTCTGTGCAGAAGGTCCCTGGCAGGAGTGTCCTTGGCACAGTGAGCATCTCAGCAGTTGAGGTGGAGCGGGGGGGTTGCCCATGGATCTAAGGACTGGACAAAATATCATGGTGTATCTAGCTGCGGCTGAGGATCTCTGAGAGGTGAGGGCAGAAGTGGTTGCCAGAACTCCCCCTACCCAGTACACACCCCCTCCTGCTTCCTGCTTAACCCTATCTTAGGTAGCAGCAGGGCATAGCTAGGCCCCAGTGTTTGGGACAGGTAGTGTGACAGGGGTTAATTAGGAGCCTGGAGTCTGAAGCCAGATTGCCTGGTCTCAGGCCCTCGCTCCACTATGAGATCGGTGAGATGAGTTATGGGTAATACAAAGCTGTTGGGAGGACTGGATGAGTTAATACCTGTAAAGCACTAGGGCATATTAGCTAGTGTTGGACAGAAAGTGGCTCCCTGGGTTGCCTCCTATAAGCACATGGTATAGAGTGGTACTGAGGCTCTTGCTGTGCCCAGAAGACTCTGAGAGGAAACAGACACTTTCTAAGGATGCAGCTGGACTCTGGTAATAACCGCCTGGAAAATGTCATTCAGGAAGGACAGGATTCACTTGTAGAGTTTTCCACTGGGAAAGGCCTGTGTGGCCCTCTCCTCTGTCCTTGGGCATTGTGGTCCTGCTAAATGGAGATCTGTGGTTCTCCAAGCCTTCTGATCCAGGGACACACAAGCCTTGACTTGAGGCCTGAAGTCCTAGGAGGCCAGGGAAAGGATGAGGCCAATGGCCCAGGACTTAAGGCTACCTCTGGACCCAGTTCTGCCACTCTTTAACCACAGTATAGTAGCTGGCTTATTAACCTACCTGTGCCTTAGTTTCCCTCACTGCATTCGTTTGTACCAGGCTGTTGCAGAGAATCATCTCAGCTCTGGTTGCTTCCTAGACATTGGCATTACACAGCTCCCACCACTCCCTCTGCTGTCTCCGTCCTCCTCTCCAAAATCTACTGTTTTCTCCCACTTCCTGTCCCAGTGGATGGACAACTCCCTTCACATAGGCTAGTCACCTTGGGGTTTCACAGCAATGATGACATTTTGAATCAGTCAACTCTTTGTTCTGGGAGCAGCTCTGTGCTTTATAGGATGTTTAACCAGCATCCCTGGCCTCTGCCCAGATGACAATAGCAACCTTGCCTTGCCCAACTGTGACAATCAAAAATGTCTCCACATTGCCACATGTCCACTCAGGTGGGGGTAAAATCACCCCTGGATCAGAGTCACTGAGTCCATTTCATGTGCTATAAGTTTGTCTGCAAAGCATTCCCAGCTTCTCCTGTTACCCCACCTTTCCTATGCTGTTCCCAGTCACCTGTGACTCCCCCCACCCTGCCTGCCCCTCGTGGCTGTGGAGCCCCACTGTGGCCACAGTCTCATTCTCTCCCAGGTGCCTCATCCACACTGAGGTGGGGATGCTCACTTCAAAGGCCAACCCAGTTGTATCACTCTCCTGCCAGATACCTCTGTGGTTCCCCTCCTTTCAGGACGGATGCCTGGGCACACATGCAAGGTCCCCTCTTACCTCAATTTTGTCTCCTCCCTGACTCTGAGCTAACCAAGCAATGCATTCCCCAACCATGGGGTGATGATTCACCCCTAGGAGCTCGTTTCCTTCCTGCAATATTCTTCACCTTCCCACCCTGTCTGCCTATGTCTTACTCTTCCTGCATAAGTACCACTTCCTCGATGATTCCTCAGAAGTTGTCTGTCCCTTCCTGTAGCCTCAACACCTCATGTTTCCCCCAGTGGGAAATGTATCCCAAAGAATCACAGTGCTTTTTTCCCAAACTTTTGAGGGTAGACACTGTACCTCATATCTCTAGTCTTCAGTCCTTGCACTGAGAGTACCTAGTTACATGCCTGGTGCTGTGCCAGGTGGGAGGGAAACCATGGGGAAAAGGATAGCCTCCCTCCTCATGAACAGACAGGCTAAGAAAAATGCTAAATAAACGATCATGAGGTCTACCATCACAAATGCATTCATGTAGACTAGCATAGCATGTGGTACTGAGGAGATATCCAACAAATGTTTGGATGGAAGTGAATGAGCAAATGGTTTGTCGAATGACATAGTGGTGGAGGGTATGAGCTCTGCCGCCCCATCTGGATTCAAATATTTAATTTCTCTGATCCCTGGTTTCCTAATATAAAATGAGACTGGTTTCCTGACCTTGGGATTTCTAGGAAGAGAAAATGGAAAACTCTTAGCAGGGTGCCTGAGTAAGGGTTCCCCAGGAACCCCAAGACAATAATCTCCTCCCAGACCAGTGAGGTGAAGTTCTCCACACACCCAGCAGGGGGTGCAATGATCTGAGAATTTGGGGAAGTCCCTGTGGGCTCTCTGAGAGTCAGAGACAGTGACAAGTACCCTGGAGTCCCTGTCCAGGCCATCCGAGGACTGGCATCCTCACAAAGTGGCAGATCCAATAATATGTCGAGTCCTTAGCCTCTCCCACTCTCCTGCCTTCACTCCTGTCCAGTCGGCTCTCCTTTGGTGGTGTTATAGGGCCAATAGAGGGACCCCTCACCTTCTAGTTCCAAAGCATCTCTTTGAGTGGCCATGCCACTTAAGATCAGAGCTATGGATCACATTCATCTTTGTGTCTTCATCTGTGGTAGGCACAAGGCCTTCTGATCCCCTCTGCATGGCTCATGAATGCTTTCCTCAAAGTGTGGCTCCCCAGATGTCCTGAATCAGAAACTTGGGGTGAAACCCAGTGATCTGTGTTTAAACAAACTCTCCAGGTGAGTCTCTGAGGCATACTCACTCAGGTCTAGGCAACAGGGGGACTGAGTGAGATTTAAGAGGCCCCTGCTCTCTTGTAGTCCTTCTGTGGCCCTTCAGATGGCCAGCCTTGGAGCCAGCTGGGATCTCCATCATAGGGGCTGTCCAGATACCATCTTCCCCTCAACTAATGGGGTCTTTGTGGGCATTCTGGGATCAGGTCATCTCAGGAAGGACTCTGGAGAAGAAGACTGGGCAAGAGCCACTTCCTACCCTGTCCTGACCCACCTCTTCTAAGCTGCCTTCTCTTGTAGTAAAGTTCTTCCCCAGCAACAGACCAGATGTTTCCCCAGCAATAGGCCAAGAGCAGTTTAGGTGAGAAAAGAGAAAGAAGAGGGTAAGGGGTAGAGGATGGGGAACCTTAGAAAGGAAGCATTAATACCCACTTCTGAATACAGCTGGCACTGTTTGTAAGTTCTATATCTGCATATTCAACATACTGTGGATTCAACCAAACTGCAAATAGAAAATGTCTTTTTTAAATTGTATCTGTACTAAACATATGCACACCTTTTTCTTGTTATTGTGCTCTAAACAATGCAGTAAGTATTTACACAGCATCAACATTATGTTAGATATCATAAGTCTAGAAGTGATTTAAAGTATGCAGGAGGGGACCTGAGCATTCATGAATTTTGCTATCTGCAGAGGTCCCAGAATTTAATTCTTCTCAGATATCAAGGGACAATTGTGCCTTCAAACTGCTAGTTCCATGATTCTCTTTGGTTTTTTGAGATATATTTTCACTATGTAGCCAAGACTGGCCTGGAACTCATGATCCTCCTTCCTCAGCTACCTGTGTACTGAGATTATAGGCAAGTGATCCCATGCCCAACCAGTTCCATGATTCTTAATGCTCAATTTACTTTAATATCAAAGTTCTTATATTATTAAATTTGATTGAAATTTTCATGAGCTCCATTATAGAGCAAAATGAAGGTAGGCTGTGATCACCATTATGGCTGGAACAGGAAATGACTGTGTGAGCGTTCAAAAATCCATCCTTTGTTTTATGATTGCTCCAACTGACATCCACTCAGCAGGGAGTTGTTGGGACCCATGAAGGGACATTGTGGGGTGGGGCTTAGCCTAAAACAAGGGCTTAGGGGAACTGTCTCCTGAGGAAGGTCAGACCTGAGAGGCTGGTCCTCCCTCCCACATCCCTAGGAGAAAATTCTGCAGACCTGAGACTCTCTGGAACCAAACCTTGACCTAGGCAGAATTCAGTATTACCCATCTCCCTGGTCCCCTGATCATCTTATCCCCATCCCACCTTGTCATACTTCCCTCCAGAGTGGGAACCCGCATCTGTCTTACAGATATTAATATTTAGGAGGAGAAAGAGGCTTTTCCCTTTGGCTAGGACTTCTCCCAGCTCTTCTCCTAGGACTACAAGGGTGGCCTGTGCGCTGACAGCTATGGCAGGAGAGAGCTAGAATGACTTCCTGCTATCCTTGAGACCTAAATCAGAGGTCATGTCTGGAGGTCTCTGGGCCTAACTCAGCTGACAAAGGAGTTTGCTGGGCTTACACAGTGTTTTTATTATTTTTATTAAATCTTGAATTAATTACCAACCCTGAAAAATTGAGATAATTTGCATAAAACCCCTGACTTTCTGCTTCTCTCAAGCCACTGCATAATCTGATGACACTGGACTTCTCACCCTGGCTGGTGAATCTCTCAGACAGACCCCTTCCACAGACACACACACACACACACACACACACACGCTGGCCCTGCCAAGGTGGAGGCTATTTCCTTCCTGTTGAGTTGCAGTGTTTTTGCCACATCAGCACCTCATTGATCTGTGGACCCCACCTGGCATTGGAGTTCATGTGCTGTCCCCAAAACCTCAGGGGCTTTCTGCATGACTCTTTAACACCAGACATCAGCATATGCTCAGGCTGCAAGGAGAGTCTGGGGCTTGAAGCCACTTCAGTAATACACAAGAGCCACAAGGGATAGCCAGGGAACATCTCAAACATGCTAGGGCAGAAAAAATGCATAAGACAACTCAGAAACTTCTGCACCACTGTCCCTTTCGTAAGGGTCAACCCCAAGCATGTACCCTGGGTTATAATTTTAAACCATAGCGGTTCATAAAATAAGGACCATGATAAAGATCATGAGATTCCCTCTCACCTGTGACCCTCATTCAGTTCTGGGCCATTCCTGTCCCCAGTCCTACTGTCCCTTTCTTGAAAGCAAATAAGGTTATCAGTTTCCAGAAAACTAAGCACCTGTGTGTGTGTGTGTGTGTGTGTGTGTGTGTGTGTGTGTCTCCCATCTTTTTATACAAATGGAACACACTATAATACTATTCTCCTCTGCTCTTTTTTTCCACTTAACAGTATTTTGTGGCATATTAATACATAAGAACTGTAGCATTGTATCCTTTACTTGGGATACAATTTTTGTAGATGTCTGTCTCACGGTTTGCCCATTCTCCTACACAAACAGTGGAGTTGTGGGCCAAGCCCTTTGTTATCATAAATAGCACTACAGTGAAAGCCATGTGTGCATGTCCCCATATCCACAAGCAAATATGCCTGTAGCATAGACTGAGGAGTGCAGTTGCTGGGTGGAAGGATGTAGACATTTACAGTTGTGATAGATCCTTTCAAACTGCCCTCCAAAGGGGTGGTCCTGGCTCCGGGGGGGTGGTGAGGAGAGTGCCTGTTGCCCTGCAGTTGAGATTCTGGCTTTTGGAGCATCAGAAGATCTGTGAGCATGTTCCATCAAGCTGGCCACAAGGGTGGCCTCCCTTATGCTCTGTCCAGGAAGCAAAGCTGTTCCCACTTGGAATCCCCCAGTGAAATTGTTTTCTTTTTCATTCTCTGCTCCACAGATAAACTGTGTGACATTCCCTCATCCAGACACAATGCCTGAACAGCAACTGCTCAAGCCAACAGAGTGGAGCTACTGTGACTACTTCTGGGTAGGTGCTGCCTCAGTTTCCCTTCATGGTGGCCCTGCTGACCAGGAGTGCTTACCTGTGAGAGGCAGGAGACACGTGCCTTTCTTGTTGAAACCTGAAGGTGTGGCAGTCAGTCAATTTGGCATCAGAGATAGGAATTTAGATCCTTCTGCAATCCAGGTCATTCTGTAAATCTGAGGGAATCTGCATGGGGTTTCACTCATGACACATAGAAACTACAGCCATGATGAAGTCAACTGGTGGCTCATTTTCTCTGATGCTTGGGAAAGGCCAGAGTCTAGAATTAGCTTCAGGAAACAAATCTGGGTGTGTCACTGGCGTGAGTGACCTTAGACAAGTACTTCACCTCATTGAGCTTTGTCTTCCCACCAAAATCATGAAGAGTTTGGTATAAGAATCCATAGAGAACTCCAGCCTTAAACATCCTGTGGTTCCAGGGACTGTTGCATATCGCTTAATGGACACAGATTTTCAGTTTGGAAGGATGAAAAAGTTCTGTGGGTGAATGGTGTTGAGGGCTGCACAATCGTGTAAGTGTGCCTAATAGTACTGAACTGTACACTTAAAATAGCAAAGATGGTAAATTGTATATAACGTCTGTTTTGCCACAATTAAACAAGTTTTTAAAATGTGAATGTGAATGTGAATGCTGAAACTCTGAGGATAGTCCCAGAAGTTTGCATTTTAAGTCAACAATGATATGTTCAAAATTTGATTCCCCTGGTGTGGAGTCAGACAGTGGTGGTATTTGCACAACCTTATGCATATATTAACACTACTGAACTGGGCATCTCCAAAAAGAACTTTTGCAAAGACTGTGAGGAACAGTAAATAAATAAAAACATTTTCCACCACAGTGCAGGAATGCATTACCTCTTTTTAGATTTGCTCAGTCCTAGATAAACATGTTTCTTTTCTTTCTCCCAAATCATTTATACTTTTGAAGACATCCATAAATTCTTATTGTCCCCCAGTAGGGGCATTTCCCATCACTCCCACTGTGTGTCTTCTAGAATGGAGACCAGCACAGAGGATGTGACAGGTGAGAGGAGGCAAACTTGAGCAAGGCGACAAGGATGAGTGTGTAAGACATTGTAGACCTCAGGAAGGACACTGGGTTTTGTGCCAGTGTGTACTAGGAAGATGTTGGGGGGGTTTAGGCAGAAATCTGATGTGATGTGGTCTGTGTGTTATGCAGGCAGGAATTGAGGAAGGATGGTGACAGCAGTAGAGGGAAGAGGTAGCGAGTTTGCAAAGTTCATCTCTGAAGAGGGTTCTGTAAATGGAAGAGTTCCAGCCCTGGATATAGGCACTAGGGAGCCCATCCTGGGGCGGGTGCAAGGAGCTTGAGGAACTAGAGTGAGCATGGAATCTGCCCACTGGTCAGCAGCATCTGAGGCAGTGACACTTGAGTGTTCTCATCTTAATCCCAGCTCTCCAGGAACTCTGACCTTTATTCATGGTTTCCCTATTGACCATCAGGGCCTTTCCCTCTCTAATAAAAATCTCTCTCTGGATGGTTTTCTTGGAGCAGACAAAACTCAGCATATCCACCCCAGAAGGGAGGCAGATTCAGGCTCACAGTTTAGGTTATTTTTTCCTTTGCCTTTGCACTGAGATGTAGCATTCATAGAGTGAAGTGCATGAATCTTCAGTGTCCATGGAGAAACTTTGAAGCAGCAAGGGCAGCCCCATAATGACATGGTCCACCCCTATGGTGTTAGCAGTGAGGCCAGAGGGCACTGGGTCAGGGCGGGCTGAGGAACAGCAGATTCCGCATTAGGCACAACCAGGGAGATGCCATAAAACCCTTCGTCTGTGTGACCATGGTGAATGGGCATCTCTGCTGCTGAAGCCCCTGTCCTAAGGTCTGATGGGGATGTGACTCACCCCTATTACAAAGGCACAGCCTAGGGTCGCATGGACCTGACCATATCACCCTGCAACTGAGCAGAGATGAGAACCTGGGTCTTAGAGATGCTGAGACTGTTCTCAGTAGTGTGCCTCTCTATGATAACAAAAGTCCATTTTTAACTCCTTCTACGAAGTGGGGAGGCCTTTAGCTCTGAATTCTTGATGGGGAAAAGTTGCAGTTCAGGGAGGCACTATTTTAATTGATTGTGATGATAGCCAGAGGCCTGCTATGGCTTATAAGTTGTTTCTCCAGCAGCCTCAGCCTTGTGGACAGATGCCAGAGTGACTATTGGGCAGGGGAAAAGCAAAAAACAGGTGCTTGGGTGTTAGGGAATGTAGGTAAAACAAAACAGATCATTGCCCTTCGAAATTTTAATAACATTTCTTTGCAAAATTAATTAGATGCTAACTTCCTATTTCACTGACTTGGCAGTGTTCTTTGGGTCCAGGCATTAAAGTAACAAACAATGGATACTTATTATGTGGTCCATGTTGAGCCATGCACATAGTCTATCATTTCCCCTGCAAGGCCTGTATGTCATTTACATTTGCCATTTATCCTGATATGACCCTCTGAGGTGAGTGCTTTTATCTCCCTCCTCAGTCTTGCAGGTAAAGAAGCTCGGGTGTGAGTGAGTGCTGGAGTTACCTACAGTGACAGAATCACAGCCCTGCCCGTCCCTGCTCTGACTTCCCTTCAATCCAGTTTCTATCCCCTCCACCCAATAGCCACTAAGGGCCTTTTAATTTTCTCTGCTATGACTTTTTATGAAGGTGTTAGAGGATGTCACTGCCTGCGTGACAAGGGCAAGCAACTGTAGAAAACTAGATGGCGTAAGAATAGAGGCACCTGGGTTAGGTCGGCCTCGGGTTGGAAGTCATAGGCCCTTGGGCATCAGAGCCTGCATCTTAGCCACTCATACTTCTTCCTCTTTGTCCCCAGGTTGGGAGAGTTAAGAGGGTGGACCAGCAGTTGTAAGAATTTAAGCATCAGTCTTAGTCTGTTCTACTGTGGCAGAATACCTAATCCATTCTTTAGGTTGGATCCCTCCTAACCTATTCACCTGATAAAGGTTTACCTCTGAACACTGCTGCATTCAGGATTAAAATCCCAGCATGTAAATAACTGGGCACAGTGGTACACACCTGCTGGCCTGGGCAAAATGTGAGACCCTATCTCCAAAATAACCAGAGCACAAAGTGGCTCAAGCAGTAGAGTACCTCCCTGGAAAACATGAAGCCCTGAGTTCAAACCCTAATCCTGAAAAAAAAGAAATCTCAGCACATAGGAGCTGGGGCTCCAGAAGAGAAGCCTGAGCTGGGGCAGTGGAGACTATAGAGGACACTATTTGTCCTTCTCAGACTGGGGTCTGCCTTGCAGGCAAACTTGGGTCCTTTTGAGACCTGTCTTCCATATACTCCACTCTTCCTGGTTCTGAACACCTGTGCTTCTGTTTCCTTCCTAGGCGGATAAGAAGGATCCCCAAGGCAATGGCACTGTGGCTGGGTTTGAACTGCTGCTCCAGAAGCAACTGAAAGGCAAACAGATGCAGAAGGAAATGTCTGAGTTCATCCGGGAAAGGTGACTCTTGGCCCCGCCCAGTTCCTGGTTGGCCACAGGGTCCACCTTGACCTCTTGACCCAGGGGAGTTGACAGTGGACCTCAGCACTGCACACCCTGCTGGTTAGCTTGTTAGCACTAAGGGATGTGCAAGACAGGGTCCCTAACACATGGCACCTGAGACACATCTGGCCAGCAGAAGCATGGCTTTGGTCTTGTAGTGTTTCTACAGACCTGAAACAACCTTTTAAAAACATTGGTAGATTTGAAATTAAACTCCGGACACCTAGCATGTCTTGAGAAAGCAGAAGGTTGGCAGGATTGCTTCTACACTCCCTCTGCAGCTATTGGCTGGAGCTGAATAGCAGCTATGTAATGGAAGAGGGTATGTATCCTATTTTGCTGCAGTCTCTACCATTCCCTACTATGCCCCCCACTGCTGCTTCACTCTTACTTTCCTGCCTGGCCCTCAGTTTGCAGCATTGTCCCTTACCATAACTCCAAAGGGGAATGTTACCTTTCGCCTTAGTTTTAAACCAGAACTGTCCCCATGCTATCCTTGTCTTCAGGGATTATAACAGTGGTTTGTCTAATAAATATGGGAACATAGATGAAGAAACAATAAATTCAACCCAATGGAAACAGAGAAAGCTATGGAGAGAAAGAGAAGTCCTCTTGCCATCTCCCTCCTTCTGGCTGTCTCTAAGTTCTGAGACTAATAAGCACACATCTACATCCCTGCACACTTGCACACACACCCCATACACGTGTGTACACACACATGCACACAACTTTCCAACTAGCTAGAGTATCCAAGGCATACCGGAAATGTTTACAGCAAATGGTGATACCTTTTTAAAATATTTCTTTTTTTTTATTATAACCACAGTAATCAGGTAATAATGCTTTGGTGTTTTTTAAGGTCCCCCTCTTTCTTTAGGAGACCTGTTTTCTATTTTTATAATTGAATCTTTATTTTATGACCTATGAAGCTGATAGGAAATTGGAAGGTTGCCTGGCTCAGGTGCAAGAAAACACAAGTATAAAAGAGTCAAATAGGAAAAGGTTTGTATAAGCCAAAGGCCAAACACGTAATGGTTTGTACTCATAGCAATGTCGTGTTAGCAAGAACATGTGCTCTGCCATTTCAGGACACGCTGAACCTCCCAGAAGAAAGGCAGATTCCTGGAACTCTGAGGGTCTCATAGGAAGGGCCTTTCAGAGCTGAAAGAAGTGAAAGCCTAGGAACAGAGGTGGAACCTATGGCTGGCCTCTGGTTTGCTCAGCTTAGAGAAGTGGGGTAGGGAATGGCGGTGCTACCGGCTGGTTCCAGAAGAAAAGCTCAGGAGAGAGATGGCACATGCTCCTCCTATGTCCGCTTGCACTTGGCATTGCAATGTGGTGAGAGCTGCATTCTGGAGATCTTGGCTCCAGTGAGAGGTGCAGGCTGGTAGTCCACGTGATCCTGGGCAAGCCTGGAGGTAAAGACAGAGGCAGTGGAGAGGAAGCAGCAGAGGCGAAAGGTAAAAGAGTGAAACCAAGAGACCAGCCTGAGGTGGAGGTGAGGACAGTGCTGTGTGAGGAGCAAGAATGTAAATCTCAGAACACTGTTACCAGACCTTGTCAGCCGCCCTCCCCGTGTCACTGGACCCTTTGGGTCCCAGCGACCTGAGCAGCCGGGAAGCAAATGCTGCAACTCAGTGCCTCTGGGGTCTTCCTGTTCACCACATGAAGGTGTAGGGGCCTCTGAGGCCCCAGTCCTCTGGCTGCCTCTGGTTGTCATATGCACAGTTCCTCTGCCTCCCATCAGGGCCCGAAGGACTGCGCAGGCAGTGAGCACACTTAACACGTATGTGCTGGACTATACAAAATCCTCCCCAGAGAGTTGCCTTGCATGTGCGGGGAAGGCTTTCCTCTTCAGGAAAATAGAATTGAGCTGCAGCTTTGGACACTGCCTGGTTGCCATGGAAATGCATGTGCCCGTGACAGTACTTTGCAATTAGAGGTATTGGGGTGGGAGACCTTAAAGGAATGTTCTAATGTTGCTTCCAAGGAGGTTGAGGCCATCTGGGAGGATCTGAACCTAGATTTGGGGGCTGGAAGGGGCAGGGGGACATGCAGGCACCCCGGCAGTTCACAAGTTGTACTTACTACTATGCCAGTGATAGCTCCCATCTTCACAGCCCTGGAGACAGCGGACGGACATGGCCCGTTGTGCAGAAGAGGATGATGATACAGATTAGGCACCCCTGTGGGGAGGAAGGGTCAGAGAGATGGGAGCTACACACTCTCCGAGCTCAGGGTCTACTATGTCTATTGGGTTCCTTTAAACAGCTGACACGTGGCTGGTGGCAGGTCTGGCCCACTGTCTGGCACAGATGGCTGAGGGTTCTCTCTCTTTGCAGGATAAAGATTGAAGAAGAATATGCAAAGAACTTAGCTAAGCTCTCTCAGAACTCGTTGGCTGCACAGGAGGAAGGGTAAGTTGGGTGGAGAGCATTTGGGGACACTGAGCAAAGAGTCCTCATTCACCCATCACCTGTTACGGCCATGGGCTGATTTTGGATGGGGAAATCTCCATTGGCTCGAGATGAGATCCATCTGCAAGTTAATTGCTCGTAGATCAAGGTGTACCCTCGTGACTTAAGGTGTGTCCATGGCTCAGAATGGGGACTGATAGCTCAAGGTATTTGCCTGTGACTCAGGTGTGGGCATCCATGCTCCTGGGGCACCTCCACCTTGTCTTCTCTCTGGTGATCCGGGCCTCCTGCCAGGTGCTGGAGTGTGTCAGGACCCCCACTACACTGTGCCCTGGTAGCTGGACAGCACCCCAGTTCCCTTTTCTCTGAGGGCAGGTTGGGAGGAAACTGGGTCTGAGAAGGTTTTGTATCTGGACCCTTAGAACGCTCTCCTGCAGACCCAAGGCCCAGGATCCCCTCTGTCACCCGCTGTGACAATCCAGACTTCCTTGATGGAACCTGACCTAGGGGGCCACTCAGCCCAACCCACAAGTCATGGCCAGGTTTCTAGTGGGAGAAAGACTTCAGGCTTCTCTGCTCTGTCACCAAAGAGTCTCAGCCCTCACACACCCCTGGCAGGCATGTCAAATTACATAGCCACTGTGGAAAACAGTATGGCAGACCTCAAAAAGCTAAGCATAAACCAGGCATGGTGGCTCATGCCTATAATCCCAGCAATGCAGGAAGTGGAAATCAGGAGGATCATGATTCAAGGCTAGCCCAGACATAAAGTTAACAAAACTCCATCTCAATAAGATAGGCATAGTGACTAAAAGTCCCAGTTACATGCAGGAGGCTAGAAGAGGTAGGAGGATGCAGTCTGAGGCTGGCTGTGGGCAAAAACACAAAAATCTGAACAATAACTAAAGTTGGAGGGGTGAGGCTGGGTGGCTGGGTGTGTGGCTCAAGTGGTAGAACACCTGCCTAGCAAGCATGAAACCCTGAGTTCAAACCTCAGTACTGCAAAAAAAAATTAAAAGCTAAGCATAGAATTACTATATGATCATTCTATCCTAGGCTTATACCCAGAAGAATTGAAAATCCGTCCTCACACAAGCATGTGCAGAGCAGCAGCATTCCCAATGCCCCACAGGTGGAAAAGTACACAAATTCCATCAAGGGAGGAATGGGTACACACACTGTGGTATATGCACAATGGATAGCCATGGATTTACAAAGGATTATTATTCACCCATTGAGAGGAATGAAATACTGAGACATGTGACTGTGTGAATGAACCTCAAAAGCAATATGTTAAATGAAAGAAGCCAGACACAAAAGGTCACATAGGATAGGATTCTATTTATTTGAAATGTCCAAAATGAGCACAGCCACAGGGTCAGAAAGCAGATTAGACCCTGGTACCCACCAGGGCTGGGGGAAGAGGGAAAAGGGAGTGACTCATGATGGGTACAACTTTACTTTTAGGGTGTGTTATTTGTCTGCTGAGGCTGCTATAACAAAATAACAGACTGCATTTCCAAAATAACCAGAGCAAAATGGACTGGAGGTGTGGCTCAAGTGATAGAGTGCCTGCTTTGCAAATGCAAATCCCTGAGTTCAAATCCGAGTCCCATTAAAAAAAAAAAAAGCCAAGCTGGGATTACAAGCTCATACCTGTAATCCTAGCTGTTCAGGAGGTAGAGATCAGGAGGATTGGGATTCAAAACCTGGGCAAATAGTTCAAGAGACCCTATCTCAAAAAAACCTTCACCAAAAAAAGGGCTGGTGAAGTGGCTCAAGGTGTAGGTCCTGAGTTCAAGCCCCAGTAGTGCAAAAAAAAAAAAAGCCAAGCTGGATAAGTTTAACTATAGAAAATTGGCCAGGTATGGTGGTGCATGCCTGTAGTCCCAGCAGTTGGAAGGCTGAGGCAGCATAATCTTGAGTTCAAGACTAGCCTGGGCTATACAGTGAGTCCTTCTCTCAGAAGAAAAAAAAATACAAAAACAAAAACAGAAAACCTACAGAAATGTATTTTCCCACAGTCCTGGAGGCTGGAAGTCCTAAATCAAGGTGCCAGAAAGGTCAGTGTCTGGTGAGGGCTCTCTCCTTTCTCACTGTGCCCATCCCTCAGGTGCTGGGCTGGGAAGTGAGAGAGAACCTTCTGGTGTCCCTTCCAATAAGGACACTAATCCTATCAAATCAGGGCCCTACCCTTTAACCTTATGTGTCCATGGCAGCACCAGGCAAGGAGGTAGCCTCATTTAACCTTAAAGGTCCCATCCCCAGGTAGCAACCCCATCAGGGATCATGGATTCAGACAGAAGTTTGGGGAGCAGGAGACATGCACTTTTGTTCCATATGACAGGGTTATGAAAGTGCTGTGGAACCAGACAGTGGGGTTGATTACACAACACCATGGATATTCTAAATACCACTACGTTGTTTATGTTTGGCTGGTTAATTTTATGTTATGTGATTTTCACCTCAGTAAAAAAATAATAATAAAGAATCTTATTAGAGGTGAAAGGGTCCCCAGAGGTCCCCTCTCTCTTCTGACCTCCCTCCTGTGCAAGTCTCTCTCTGTTTTAATTCCTCCCACAGGGGAGGAATTCCTTCCCCAAGGAGGAAGGCCTCCTGTCCTGGGCTGTGCTTGTCACAGAGCAGTAGTGCAAGTCCAAATCTGCCTTCCTGGCTTGAAATCCTTTGGGGGGGGACAGAGATTTTGCCAGGAAATGTGGCTTTGATTAAAGCCTCAGCATAGGCCTCTGTGCAGCCCAGTGGCCTCCTCTGAATGGTTTTCACCCACCCAACCAACCACAGGCCACAGGGCAGTACAGCAGGGCCAACATCACTTTCACATGCACAAATGGGGTCAGTGAGTGCCCCACCCCTTTTGCATTTGCTGACCTGAGATGGGCAGGAAGGGGGCACGTGGGGAAGTCACCCCTGCTGCCAGGGAAGGAGATTTCCCATGTATCCCTGTGCCCTGCCCCACCGTGCTGCTCGGGAGTTTTCCGGTTTCCATCTCCTTGGCCTGGGCTCCTGCCAAGGACACAGTGTCCTGCCAAGGACACATATGCTCCTAAATTGAGCAGCCCAGCTCAACGCACCAGGCCTGCACTGCCATGCTGCACACAAAAGCGCACAAAACGTGGAGACAACACAGGCATCAGCACCACTCACCTGTATGTGTGCACACACCCCATCGCTGCTGCACACGCAGTAACCCCACACACACTCCTGCCAGCAGGCACTGAGGTGTGGACACATGAACCCACATGCACAGTGTCACAATGGGCAACAGCGCTATTTTGCATTCACACTCAGCTCTGGACATTTCAGCCAGTCCAGACCTTAACAGCAGTCAATGTGCAAGGCTGGAGCCTAGAAATTTGGGGCAGTCGAGGGAGGTGTGGGTGGGAGAGACTCACAATTGTTTTTGCAGCTCCAGGGCTGTGTACAAAGTAGATTGCATAGGGCACTACACAATGCTGTGAACACACAGCATTGGATTATTTATTCTGCTTTGAGTTTTTCTCTCTTGAGCGGAAAGGAACTGGGATTTCAGTCTTTCCTGATTGGCAATTTGATATGTTTATTGGGGCAGAATTATATCAGTTTTGTTTTTAATTAACCTCTTTCCTTCCAGATGCTATCTTCAAATGAGAGAATTTCTAAACATCTTCTTTTCTTGTGTGTGTGTGTTACTGGGATTTGAACTCAGGGCCTTGCACTTGCTAGGCAGGGGCTCTGCCACTTGAGCCACACCTCCAGTCCTTCTTGGGGTTTTGTTTTTAACATGAATTTTTAGATGGGGGTCTTCATTTTTGCCCAGGGCTGGCCTTAGACTGTGATCCCTCTACTTATGCTATAGCAGGGTCTACGTACACATATCGTCATCCCCAGCTTACTGATTGAGATAGGGTCTTGTGAATTTTTTAACATTCAAGTCACAGTCCTCCTGAACTCTACCTTCTATGCTGAGATCCTAGGCACGAGCCATCATACCCAACTTTAATATGGGGTTCATTGTGTTATTTTGACACATTGTGAAGTGCCTTGAAATACTGGGGAGAGGGAATGCATGGGGTGTATTGGCTCAGATGGTCCCATCTGAGAGCTTGGAGGTTGCCCATCCTGGAAGTGGGGTAGAGGAAATTGTCCTGGGGGAAAACAGGACTTCTTCCTTTCCTCCCAATAGTCCTGAGCTGACATTTTCAGACCACCATGCCTGTCCTTGTCCAGTTATTTGCCCTGTCCTCTGCTGACTGTATTCTGACAGCTTTGCAGACAAAACTCTGGGTGGGCCCCTCCTGTGGTCTTTCTTTGGCTTCTGTGGCTCTTATTTGTACCTCCCACCAGCCAATATATATCACTCAACTAGTAGGGGCAGAGCTGACATACCCACTCTTCCTAGGACAGCTTTTGTAAGCTTTGCATGTGTTGGCTTTTACCTCCATCTTGACATCATGTATGGATATGGTGTGAGGTAAGGATCAATATTCCTTTCTACCTGTAGATATATGCTTGTCTCTATACCCTCAGTGTGTATGAGCTAGGTGCAGTGGCTCAAGCCTGAAATTCTAGCTACTTGGGAGGTAGAAATCCAGAGATCACAGTTCAAGGACAGCCCGGGCAAAAAGTTCATGAGACCCACCCACCTGAACCAATGGCTGAGCATGGTGGTGTGTTCCTGTCATCCCAGCCCCACAAGGAAGCACAAATAAGAGGATGGCATTACAGGCCTGGCCAGACATAAAGCAAGACCCTATCTTAAAAATAACTAATACAAAAAGGGCTCAAGTGGTAGAGCACCTGTCTAGCAAGTATGAGGCCCTGAATTCAAACCCCAGTAAAAAGTTGGTCTGAGTACTAGGAGTGTAGCTCAGTGGTAGAGTACTTGCCTCACATGCATGAGGTTCTGGGTTCCATCCCAGCACCAGAAGGAGAAGGAGAAAAAAGGGAAGAAAGGAAGAAGGAGGAGGAAGGAGGAGGAAGGAGGAAGGAGGAGGAAGGAGGAAGGAGGAGGAAGGAGGAAGAAGAAGAAGAAGG